AACGCTTGCTGGCGTACGGGAGCGCCGACTCCAGAAGGACTTAGCGGCGCTCGGAGCCTGCGAGGGGAAGGAAGCAGGAGGAATAAATATGTTGAGATGAATTTCAAAAAGGCGGTGGGTGACAGCTGTGCGTCCCAGGATTGGAGTGTTCCTGAGAATAAAACCATCGGTTGCTGTCATTCACCCTCCGGGTATGAAATTGGAAGCCCAGTTACCCTTGAGTGTTTCATAACCTTTACCTTTTGGAGGTCAAGGCCATGTCATCATTAATCTACCATCGCCTGAAAGCCTCGGGGCTCTGCTTTTCATCCTGCCATCCGTCATGCTGCAGCCAGATACAGGAGAGTGACCAGAAGGGTCCGGTTTTATACACACATGTGGGCACGCACCCTTCCATTCGCCGGGGATGGAAACGCCGAGGATGCGATTACGGAGGCTCGTGTCTCTCTCGCTGCATTTGTGATGAGGATACTCCAGGCTTCATCTGCAAATCCAGAGCAGTTTCCTCCTGGGGATGCTTTAATCTGTGGAGAAAGGAGCACTCTGCCCATGCAGCATGAAACTGGGCCTCGGGGGCAGAGATTTCGTAGCCACGTGGGCTTTTAAAATACAGAGCGGGCGCACCAAGCAAGGCGGGGAGCTGCCCCTTGGAAGAAGGCTGTTGCCTTACCTTTTACCTGGCTGTTATTGTGCCGTGAGCCTGGAAAAGCAGGGCGGCGAGCTGCGATCTGGCAGCGGGAGAGCTGCAGACGACAGCTCGAGACGTGGAGCATCTCCCGTGCGTTGCTCCCCTTCCCCTGCTCCGGGTCTGTGCCAGGGCCTCCTGGCGAGCCAGGCTGTTCGTCGTCCCTCTCCCTACCCAGCCGCTCGGGATGAGCCTGGCCGCGCTCCCGAACTCTCATTTCACAGCACGCGCGCGGAGCCGCTGCTGTTTGACCCGCGTGTCTGAGACTGGGTGCTGCGAGCACGGCGAGGGACGCGTCAACGGATGGCGGGGCCTTGCTGGCCTCGTCCTTCGCAGCAGCTCGCTGGGCGCGGAGATCGGAGGTGCTCGCGACGAATCGTTTGTTAGAAGCTCGTAGGCGCTGAGGGCGGCTGTCCTGCTTCTCGCCCCGAACGCCAAAGGCAGTGAGATGCTTTTAGGTGATCTGGGATCAACTTTTGCCCGCCCTTTAAGAGCGAGGCCGGCAGCGGGGTTTTCCCCTCTGTAGAAGTTTGAGTCCTGCAGGCAAGTTAACCAGAACAGCGCAGCTCAGCGCTGCTGCGCGGCTCCTTATTCCACGCTGCGGGAATCGCTGCGCGCAGCTTGCCGAGCTCCGGCGGGCGGGGAGAGCGGCGGGCTCGCTGTCGGCGGCGGGCTGAGGTCTCCCTTGCCGGGAGCTGGTGCGTGGTGTTCAAAGGTAACCAGCTGCGCTCTGCCTGCCCCGAGCTGGGATCCGCTCTGTTGGCAGGGCAGCGGCGAGTGCCAGAGCTCCGCGCACCATGGAAACCACGAATTCATGCCTTTTGGCATTAACTCTTCCGGCACCAGCGGTAGTGCTTTGCTTTCTCCCGGGAGAGAGGGAATGATCCAGTTTTTAAATGGATCCTTCTCTCTTTTGGGAATAGGCGATACGAGCCAGAGGATGAGCCGTTAAACCTGGATTTAATCAGTGCTGACAGGCACTCTTCCAGTCTGGAGCTGTACGGCTCCGATCGCCCTTCGGGACCTCTCCCCGTGCACGCCGGGGAGCTCCCCCACGCCTGTCGCTTGCTTCAAGAGGAGAAAAAAGATGTCTCGGAGCCCGAGGTTCCTCTGGGAGCTGCATAGGGCTCCTTGAAAGGCGGTGGTGTGGAGGGGCGAGCCCTCTTGCCTCGCCTCCTTGTTCCCTGCCTGGAAGAGGGTAGGCAGCAGCTTGGGGCCATCGGCCTCGGGGACGGAGGGGCCTGATTCTGCCTGGGGGGGTGCGGAGCCTGCCCCCTCCGTGCTGGCAGTCCAGGGGTTCAGGCTGGGCGCTAAGCGGGCGCCCGGATCTCGCACGGAGAGGAAGCGGCTCCCGGGGCGGATTCCCATGGCGGTGAGATGCCGTTACTGAGAGCAGCCCCGTGCGGAGCTGTGCCCGCGCCCTGCGGTCCCCCAGATGAAATTCAGGCGTCAGAATTAAAGCTTTGGGATCGCACGCGGCGCAAAGGCATTGATACGCTTGTGTAAATGCAGCCCTGTTACCAGATTGCAGGAGAGACTTTGCTTCGGGGCTTGGAGTCCTTCATAAAAGCTTTTTTCCCCCTCTTCCTTCCCCCACCCCCCCCCTTTTTTAGACAAACTACAAAATGACTGTCGTGGCGCGAGCGCGAAGGGAACAAGCCTAGAAGTAGTAAGGTTAGAAAATAAATCTGACATCCTGCCAGAAAGGTCAGCTTTCCCTGCAGATGCTGGCGCACCCATTTGCACGCCGGAGCACGGCCCCGGGGCACTACCAGGGGTTGATAGATGCAGAGATAGCGGCGTTTTGATAGAGGTAATTTTCCTCAGATGGGTTTCAGCACCCCATGAATCAAAACCTGTCAGCGAGAAGCTAAAGATGGAGTGAAGTTTATTGTACGCGTGTTTGCATCTGACACTGTCGTGCTAGGGGGTCAAGTGAGCGAGATCATTAGGACCGTGTTGATTTAGTGGGACGGTTATGTGCTTTCCCTGCAGGGCAGGGGTGGGGGTGGCTTACCAAAAAAATAAATAAAATCCTACAGCTCGGCGCGGTCCCCGGGAGCCTCCCGTGTCCTTTTATTAAAGACACAGCGCTTTTCTTCTCAAAAGTGGCTTTGGGGCCATCCTCTTGCTCGTGGGATTTAAACCACGCGGGCAGCAGCGGTGGTTTTTAAGAGCCCGTTTAATATCGCTAATGCCCAGGTCGGGTTTTCTTTGTGTGGCTGTGGTTTGTGCGTGCGTCGTGCTGCTCCGGCGCCCAACTTTTCCTTCCCTGTCCCCGTGATGATAATCCCTCCCGGCGTCCTTTGTTCACAACCCCGGAGTTTCGCAGCTTTTCTGGGACGTTGCTTCTTCCCGAAAGCTGGAGTAATCCCAGCCTGGATGGGGTGCGGGGCTGGGAGAGGGCTCTCGGCCGCTCCCCCCCGAGAGCCTAGGGCGGACGCGTACCTGCCGTCCCTCTCCGCCGTGAGCTGGGCCTGGGGAGGGCAGGGAGCACCAAGGGTGACTTAACCTTTGCTCGTAGCTTTGCTATCAAACCGTGGAAAGGAGGACCGGCAGAACGGAGCAGGTGAGTGAGGGTGGCGATGTCCTGATGACGGAGCCGTCTTCAAAACAGCCCTGCGCAGAGGCTTTCTGGGGAGGAAGGCTAAGCTGCCGGCTCGGTGGGGCTGCCAGCGCTTGCCGCGGTGTTCGGCAGCGGTCCCTGCGGTGAGGGGCTGTAACGCATGGCGGGAATCAAACGTGTTTGGGCCACGGCTGCTGGCGGCTTCCTACGGAGCCGGAGCTTGTGAGAACCTCGGGGCTTTCGGTTCAAGCGCCTCGGCCAGCCCTGTTGCCACAACACGCGCCCGTGTCAGGAGCAATAGCGCTGAGCGGGCTGCTGTGGCCTCCTTTATGTAAGGTGTTGACGTGGCGAGGTGACCCCGCTGCTCGCTGACGGGGCGCCCGGTGCCACTCTGGGCAAATTTGGCTGCTGATGGCGTGGTTCATGACCTTGAGCTTAAACGGATAAGCGTCCAGCTTGATTCCGCTGCAATTCCAGTTGATCCAGGTGGAGCACTGGGACTTGAAGCGTATTTTCTCGGAAACGGTGCTCCTGTTCTCCTCCTGCCTGGTGCCCCTTGCTCTAAACCCCAGGCGCCGGCGTTGGTACCTCCGGTTCCCCAAGGCGGTGGGAAGCCGTGCACCAGGGCGGCGTGGCCGGGGACCCTTCGGTGAGCGAGAGCCTGTGCGTGAGCCGCACTCCCCTGGAGAACAAGGAGTAGTGGACGGGCTTACGGGGAGCCAGAGCTCTGAGGCGGACTTAATGACGGGAGGGAGAAGTGGTAGGAGCCTAGCAGAGGAACCGGGCAGCCTTAACTGTAGAAACGGCCTGAGAGAGGCACGAAACAGCCAGAGGTAGGAATAAATCCGCAGAAAATGGATGCGTTGAGGCTTTTATGGGCGACGATAGGTTTGGCTGTTACTGGCGATTAGGACGTTGTTGTGGGTGATGGCAGCCGAGGTAAAAAGCCTGCAGGTTTTTTGGAGAGCCTTGGAAAGCAGGGATCGGAGGGCTCTGGGAAATGTCAGTAGAAATTTGCTCGCTTGGGCTGGAAATAAATTAAATGAGACTTAGGACGATGGGGCGAGTTCTGAGCCTCCATCTCCAAATCAGAACGTTTCCGAGAGAAGCGGCGTGCTGCCTGTACCTCGGGGCGAGCGTCCGAGTCCTGCTGCTCGCTGTCCCCAGGGCATCGCGCAGGCCCCTGCGACGGCCGTGAGCGCTTCCCCCAAATCCTTCCTAGACCACCTCCAGACGAAGGTGAGGTTCTGGCTGCTGAGGCTGGATTTTCCTTCGCCCACCTGGGCCTGTCGCGGCGGCTGTGACGAGCGTCTGTCCTTTCCTTCCGCCCTTCTTCGTGCTGGGGCTTGAGCGTGAAGAAATTCAGAGCAAAGACGATATGGTGCTGTAACGCTGGGCAGGCTCGAGGGGGGCTGTGGCTTTATCTGGGGAGGTCGTGCCGCGGCTGGTGGGTGGACGCTGCCCTTCGCTGATCGCTGCCGAAGGGCCAGAGCCGCCCACGTTACCCGACACGCTCTGCCGCAGCTCTTCCCCGGCACACATGAGGCATCCCCTGCGGACGGCGCGCTTTGCCGAGGCGGAGGAGAAGCCTGCTCCGCTCTCAGCGTCTCCGCTGCCTTGCTCCAACGTTTAGGAGGTGCTCTGGTGGCGAGCGCGGGAGGAGTGGGGGTAGGAGGGACATGATTTACCATTTAGCCAGCACCCTGGGGCACTGCCAACAAAATAAATCTTCGTCCTTCTTTGTGCCAGAGTGAAGAAGACGAGAAACTGAAGAAGAGAAAGGAGCGGTTTGGCATTGTAACGAGTTCAGCCGGGGCTGGAGCTACAGAGGACACAGAGGTAAAAGCTTTTCCTGAGCGGATGGGGAGCGGCCGAGGGCGCTGAGGGGAGTGGGGACGGTCCCAGGGGTGGCAGCACGACTCCGCGTGCCTGGGACCTCGCTCAGCGCCGGGTCCCCCGCGCTGGCGTGGGGCTGACCCCCAGCTGTAGGTGGTTGTGCTCCCGTGGCCTCTTCTCCGTGGCAGGGAGCGCTGAGGTGCTGCCATCCGATCTGTCGTGGCTTTTCCCCCGGCTCCTGCTGGAACTAGGCTGCTCTGGAGCCTCCCAAGCCACGGGAGCGTGCTGGCACGTGCTGGCATCCAGCTCCTCCCCTTGCAGGGCGGCACAGATGCTTCCAGAAGAGGCGGGGGGCACATCTGCTCTACTCCACGTTCTCCCACCCTGGTTCCCCCTCCCCTCGGTTTGAGCTGACTCTCTCTGCTCCTCGGACCCTGCAATTCCCTGCGCCCCGGACGCTTCTGGACCCTCTGCTTCCCCTTGGATGCTATTGCAGGTCTTCGTCAATAAATCCCCGGAGACTCTACCATATAATGAGGATTGAGATGCTGACCCTGTTTCCAGCTTTCCTCCTCTGTGCTTTGTTCTGTCCTCTGTGGTTTTGGCCCATCTTTTAAATTTGTAAGCTCCTCAGGGCAATTTTGTGCTCTTTTATGTACTTGTGCGCTTCCTTCTGCTTCAGATTGTTCCAAGTCACCGTGCTCCGGCCCGGTGGCTCCTACGTTAGGTTAGGCGGGGAGTGCCGTGCGCACCTACGGTGCCGCATAAATACGGCTCCGGCGCGGATCGGCCAGAGTCGGGCACCCCTCTCCTGGGGGACAAAGGGACCCCCCGGGGTGGGGGCTCCTGCGGTAACAATCAAATGGCAAAGGTTGCGGCAGGGCGAGCGTTGGGCCTCGGAAACCGCTTAACCAGATGGCTCCTGGGCTCGACGGACAAGGAGTGGGTTTTGTTTGGTTCCTAAGAGCAATCCCAACAATTCAGGTGGGGTTTAGGGGCTTTTTTTTTTTTTTTTTTTTTTTTGTGCGGTGTTTTT